CCCCCCCGCCCTATATGAAGAAGATTCGAGCCCTGTCTCGGAGACAGGCTGCGACGCTCTTCCAACTCCGTACCGGACACGCTCCCCTTAACGACCACCTATACCGAATCGCGCGGGTCGACTCGAAGCGCTGTCCAGCATGCGACCTAGCTCCGGAGACGGTGATACACTTCCTACTACAATGCCCCGCCTATGCCTCAGCCCGCTCGCAACACCTGTCCCGTCTCGGACGCCGTGGCCGCACACTATCTTTCCTCCTCAATACACCGTCAGCAATACAACCTCTACTCAAGTTCGTCAGCGCAACGCGACGCCTGCAACACACCTTTGGCAATGTAGCACCCAAGGAGACAGAACAACGTCAAACACAGCGTTGCGGAAGACGCAACCAGGAGGCGACACACATATGCTGACTTATCTGCTTGTTTGTTTCAGGAAGACGCCACTACATACCCTACCACGTATACTTCGCTGCCCTAGATCTGACCCCATTGCATGTAACCACCACGCTCTCGTAGATCCCACCGGAAAAGTGCGCTGCGGGCGCCCGCCCGCTCTAGGGGCGGGGGAGTTCTGACGGATGGCGGGGACACCGCCAGACGTACACCTGACCGGCGCAAGAGGCGAGACCCAGGACACAATCGTACCCAGAGGCCGCAGGTTTATAGCCCGTTCCCTTGCCTTAAATGGCCGGGACTGGGCGGACTTCCGCAACGCACCTTTCCTGAGCCCTGCCCCCTCCTTACACACCACTTGCGTACTCGAACGTCTCACTCTCGCCCCTGTCTGTACTCTGACACTTCCCTTGCACCACCCCTCATCGACACCTCATTCATTCCACACCCTTAGATTGCATGAGCATCCAGCTCAATCATGTCCCGCCGACCACCATTACCATCTAAGTAGACAGTATTGTATTTACGGCCTACCATGAGGCTCGGCCTCGCAGGGCAATAAACGGGATCTAGAAGAAGAAGAAGAAGACAGAAGAGGTCCTGGTCGTAGCATCCCCATCATGACTGAGGAGCTCTCCCACACTACTCCTTCAACGGATGATATGAGTTGAACTCGCCGGCTACAATCCAAGGATGTCCTGGTTTCCCATCGCACGCAGGAGATAGTATTGACCGGGAGGATGCCGAGTTGACAAGATACATCCGCACTGCTGCAACTATGGTACGGTGGTGTAGCGGACAACTACGTTATGCAAAGTGCGTGCCTTCATGTTCTCCTTTGGTTACATGAGGTATATCTTACAGCAACTTCACAGTGTCTCCTGAGGTATCATAATACACTCACTACGGCAGCAAACAAACAAGAATCGAGACGTGTTTGTCTTTATGCTCCAGGGCTACCCCCGAACAATGCCACCATGCTGATCTGAGTAGCACGAAACACCTGGTCGAACGCTACTTTCGCTACTGGCTTGCATTTCTAAGGTGCGTACCGATCGGTTGACTGCGTAAGAATCATGATGGCTGACTTGCTCTGTTCCAGCAGCAGTTCATATTCGACCGCAATGAATGCATCATCGATGTCGTTTCCAGGTTTTTCTTGAATAGGAATAGCATGATATTTCTCGATTTAGTTTGTCTTGCCACGCGTTGAAGAATTCAAACGGATGCATCCTTTGCAGATACTTGAAGAGAAACACTTCGTCGAAGTGGTGGCGAACGTCGACAGTCCGGATGGTCGCATAGCCACGGCAATCATCGAGTCACCAATCAACTGTTGTTGGCTCCATCAGGAAAACGTCACGGACTTGGACCCATACTTGGGCCCAAGTTCATGTACTTGGACTCAAGTCCGTGTACTTGGCCCCAAGTCCGTGTACTTGGCCCCAAGTCCGTGTACTTGGCCCCAAGTCCACGGACTTGACTCAAGTCTATATACTTGGGGTACTTGGGGTACTTGGGCCACAACTTGAACTTTACATGTTGACTTCAGTATACTCAGGCCTCAATTTGAGCAATTGGTGTTCTATCAGTCACACATCTTGTATACTTCTTATGTAATAATATCTATCATAGACATCCATACACTAGTTGTAAACCAGTCTGTT